TTGCTACTGTCTTACTATCGCGCCAAAAAGGTTCCTGTAAGGGCTGCAGAAGATAAGATCAGGAAACTTCTCCACGAACTCACGGACATGAAATGCTTACCTTTCAGACTCGTGCTACATCTGAAGTTACACGAACCTCAACCGTTTCGAGCTTGCAAACATGGGTACTTAAAAGAATCAGACTGGGGTTTGGGGGCGTCAAAGGAAACCCGGGGATCGGCATTTCTAACGAAGCGGGCTTCTGTATCATGCTATTTGGTGGAACCAAAGAGCCTAGAAGAAACATGAGCCCTTTTGTCAATGCCATGTGTTATTGCTTTGAAGAATTCAGGACTAATCCTACCAAGTCAATAATCCTACCAAGTCATGCAGGTTCGGGCGACGCTCCTAGCGGTTCAACTTTAGTTCTTGACTTTGAACCCTTGCCTTATGTACACTTCAAACGCAAAATCCTGACAGAATCCTCCTAAACAGCTCTATACAACGACCTTCATCGTAGCAATCCTAACTGCTATTCTTCCTACTGATGCTAATGTTGTAATCATTGTTGTTATAATCGTTCTTAGTAGTTTGATAGTTACTATGTGTGGTAGAACTAACAACTCTCACAAAAAGAGAAAGTTCCGAGGTGGAGGGAGCCGTGGCCCTCCAAAGCTTTCCGTTTCTGTGGCACCTCCAACAGTTGGCCGGGAAAAGCACTCACGCTGGGAGTTAGTAGAAAAACTGAATATTTATACCCTGAACTTTTGAAATACTCGCATGTTTTATCATGTACTAGAAAGGACTAGAAGATGTTAGAATCACGATTGTGGTTTCGGGCTTTAGGTACTTTAGGCGGCGCCTTGTGGGTTAAAGTTTGGGGACTTTCTCCAGGAGATCTCTCCTGGTCCCACAGGGGTGGTTAAAATTAGGGTCCTTCTTTCGGGTTCCTGATATAGTACCGCACCTACTTTTTAGAGCACCCAAAAGAGAGAGACCTTAATTTTGACACCTACCCACAGGTGCAGCATACTGAGGCCTTGATGTGGGAATTTCCGAAAATACGGGACCCTAATATGGTACCCTAAATAGCAGGATCCTTTTTGTAAGGACCCCCAAAATAAGGCACCCCTATTTTTCGGAAACTCCCATGTCTCCAACAGCCCTACCGCTTGAAAGCCTTGCGCCCTGCAGCCTCGACATAACAGAAAACCCTTGCAACCGTGAGGACGTCGGGGTTCTTGTTAAGCGATTTAGTTAAAGTTACCAAAATAGGGATCTACAGTGAATTTCATGTGGTTTCTTTATTACGGCAATTTCAAGTTATATCCCTTAACAAGAACTGCAAAAGTCTCCCCAAGCCTGCCTAGAGCTCCTTTCTCGGGTGAGTCTCAAGACTCTGCTGCAGGAAGCTCGAGGCAGATGCTTCCTCTTCCTCAACCTGGGTCGCTCAGGGAGGCCCTTTACAGAAAAGCACTGTAGCTGCCGTTTCTTTGTGAAGACGATGCTTTACAAAATAGTACAGTGCTGTCATAAAGACTATAACCCCTCTTCTTAAACAGTTCATTCGGTACAAAACTTAAAGTCTTAAAGCCGGGAAATATGTTCAGGACGGGACTTCGTGTTCTTCGTCGCTGTCGCTGTCGCCCTCCTGTGCGCTGCAGGAAAGCTGAAGCTTATTTGCCGAGTTCAGGAGCCTCGAAAAGCTCGAACTTTCAGTTTTATACGCTCTCTCGCAACTCGGACTCGCCAAACGAGGTCTCTGTGTTCGGGTGCACAACGCAAGCTAACTGAAAGTTCTATAGGGGCTTGCTTATCCAGGAAGTGTAATGAATATTTACTCAGCGCCCAAGGAAGAACCTGTCCAACACGTCCACCGTGAACAAACCAAAGTTGAATGCTTGGACAAATGCTCGCGTCGGAGTTTCCGAAAGTCATGGATCCAAGCAGCTACTGCGGTACTAACACTGTCCTCACAACGTAACCAGAAGAGTCACACAAAAGTCAAAAAACACACGACAAACTAAGCACCGCGATCGTGCCTGATAGTCACAACCACAATAAGAACAACGAACATAGTCATACGAAGCACAATATAAGAACAGTTCATGCTACTTGGAGGTCCATGGTTAGTTATAAGTGGGGTTGTAGGTCCCCTAACATGGGCTATAACTCTAGCTACCTTACTTATAACCCCACTTATTTATAACTACCCATGACCCTCCAAGTAGCTGTTCGCAGTAAAAAGTTATGCCCTGGCCTCACTGAAATGGTCCGTGAAGGGGAAAGGCTCCTGGCATCTTCTCGGGGCTTTTTTGGGGTGTTGGGCTTACGTAGGGCACTTGGGGTTTAGGGGTTTAGGGGTTTAGGGTTTAGGGGTTTAGGGTTTAGGGTTTAGGGGTTTTGGGTTTAGGGTTTAGGGGTTTAGGGTTTAGGGTTTGGAATGTTGCAACGTACTATAGACTCCTCGTTGTGCAGGCCTTCTCCTGACGAAGGATTGCAAAAGCCAAGCCTCTTGCCAGGGCCTTGAAAGACAAGGGGCCCACAAATCAGGGATCTACATTGGAGCTTGCGCCTGAAAGGCGTTTGGGAATTTAAGACTTAAGGCGAGTTCTGGAGCCAGGATGAAGGAACCTGGGTGCAGGGCTTCGGGCGTACAGGGGTGGATGTTGTTGCATCCAGCCTGCTACTGAGCCTCTGTTCGGAACCTAACGAAGGACCAACGCAAAGCTTCAAACTTGCAGTGCCATGCATCAGGTATGACTTCAAAGGACGCTGCAACCACTAGCTCACTAGCTCAAACCCAAAAAGCTCCAAGAGAAACTCCAAGCCCTGACCCTCATCCTAAACTTTACCCAGCCGAAACCTTAAACCTTGAACCATAATTCAATAGCGCTTTTATGACAGGTTACATCATACATTGCATTGTTCTGGATATCAGAGAACATGTCTAAGGGCTTCCTAAGGATTCCCTAAACCCTAAACTCCCTCAACTCCCTTTTGCTGCAGGCTTGCTTGCAAGGACGCCTGGCATTTTGCCGCTCTTCCGCCAGTTAGGACTGTGCCCCTCTTTTCTCAACTCCCTAAACCCTGAACCCGAAGCCCTCAACCCTTTTTTGCTGCAGGCTTGCTTGCAAGGAAGCCTGGTCGCCCTCAACCCTGAATCCTGAACCCTCCACCCTAAAAGGACTCCTCCGGGATGGGCCGGCCCAAGAAGTGACTCAGCGGCGCCCAGCCGTCCGCGAAGTCGAACCTCGGTCGGTTCGGAGCGGGAGGTCGTGGGCAGGCTTTGGCGAGAGGTTGAGGGTTGAGGGTTTAAGGTTCAGGATTTAGGGTCGAGGGTTGAGGGTTTAGATATGGCTGCCATGGGTCGACATGGCTTTTTGTACACTAGGGCATCGGGGCACATCATATCGTTGTGGTCTTCTTTTCGGGGGCTCTACTTACCATTAAGCGGATGCGTCTTGCGTATCCCGGTGTTGGTTTCTTCTGCTTGAACTGCACGTGGACCCGAAACCTCAGTCCAAACTGCAGAATATTCCTCCGTGCCAAAATCCATGATCGTCACTTTACACCCTTGCTGTATAGTAAAAGCACCCACCACCCGAGCATCACGGCGAACCGGAGCACGATAAGCAGTTGCATTGCCTTGCGATCACCGCAGCTACTGCAAGAGCTGATGCTGCCACTGCCCTGCCGCCCTGCCAGCAAGTGCTGAAACCGGGCAGGGAAACCCACACCATGAACCCTACATACGATGGATGATTAGTCATACTGTCCAGTGGCAAGAGCAGTCGTGACGGAGGAATGGTGGACTTCACTCGCTCCATGTGGGCGTTGAAGTTGTTGTAGCCTTTCACCCGTATCATACTCTCATTTCCAAACATCTTTGCACATGTGACAATTGTTCCTTAAAACCCGGTCAGACAGTATGAATCCCGATCAAACCCAATCAGGAACTCAGTCATCGGTCCGACTTAAAGGTTACTTCTTGATGCGGGCAGCATACTTCACTGGGGATCGGACCTGTTCGCTCTTCTACGTCCGAGCGCAGTTCGTCTAGGTACAACCGGGACCCAGAAGCTCCACGCATATTGGCTAAGTGGCTGAACACCTTGGGTTTAGGGTTTATGGTGTCTTGCTTCAACTCATAACTTCAATGGCTAATAAAGCATTCTAAGATGCGATCTCGAGGCAGGTCCGGTTCTCCTCCTCGGACATGCCTGCAGGTGCAAGAGCACAGGGCATAGCTGAAACACTTTCATGGATGCACGCTCTCTCACAACCCCACATGCTCAAATCCCACACGAGCCCCTTGTCAAACAGTCGTGGTTAATGCCAAAGCGAGTTTCAAAAACAAGGAATCAAAAAAAAGACGCCAAAATACTCGTATCCTTACTAAAGAAACGCTTAATATACAACCCTGGGATCAAAGTACCTTCACCATGACGATCCCGAAACAAGGTACCCCTTAACATTCAAGCCCTGAACCCTGAACCCTAACCCGTAAACCCTAAAGCTTCGGCACTGCCCCCATGGGGCTACCACGAATTACGGACCCATGTATCTATATTGTGAATATTGTCCAACTGTAACTGAACCCTACGACCCACAATCATCTTAACCGAGGCCGACATGCAGCACCGATACCCCAAGCCTAAAATAGTCCTGAACCCGAAACCCTAACCCCTAAAGCCCTAAGCCCTAAACCCTAAACCCCTAAAGCCCTAAAGCCCTAAAGCCCTAAAGCCTTTCCAGGCCTTCGATCTTCCCGAAGTTGCAACCCCAGTAGTGGCAGGCCCAGCAGTAGGTTCTGGGAGTCGAATTGGTGTCCAGGTTCTCGTACTTCGCCTGGGGGTCCCTTTAAACGGATACTATAAGGGTCCTTTTAAAGGGCTCTATAAGGGAATTAAGGTTTCCGAAAATAAGGGGGTACCTTATGTTGGGGTCCTTTTCACAAGGATCCTACGATTTTGGGGGTACTACATTAGGGTCCCCTGTTAGCGAAAACTCCCACCTGGGCATGTGAGGCTTAGGGCTTGAGCGGTTTAGGGGTTAGGCGTTTAGGATTAGGGCTTGAGGGGTGTATGGCCATGACTTTCGGGTTTAGGAAGTTTAGGAAGCAAGGAGGGGTCCAGTGGTTTCGAGGGTTCTGGTGTGGTTGAGCCTCTCTACCCCTCTCTCCCTGAGAAATTCCCGCTTCATTGCTTCTCTTCTTGGCATTGGCGTGCCGACCGCCTGTTGCGCACCAAATGCACAAATGCAAACGCTAGCGATTTCAAAACGCAACCTGCCAAAAAGCGCAAACGCACCTCATTCTCTTTTCCGGGAAAGTTCCCAAACGCAAGACGCTAGCGGCTTGGGGCGAACATTCCCAAATGCAACTCACGGAAAAATCATTGGTGAGTGATGGGGAAAGGCATAGCAGGAAGGTGAGCCAACGACAAAAGCAGAAATCATTGGCCAGTGTCGGGCCGGTAATACTTAAGAAGCGTTTGGGTATTGCGATTTGAAACCGCTGCTGTTGCCCAGAACGCGGCAGTGCCGGGAACGGAAGGGTACGGAACGCGAACGAGAACGGAACGAGGCAAAGGTTCTCAGTTTTCAGCAGGTCGGGAAACTTCATTTCAGCGGGTCCAATCGCTAGCGATTTTAAGCGCCGACCACGATATTGCGAAGAGGGCTCTTCACACGATCATACTCACAAAGGTGATGTTTTGGGGGGCAACTCTTGGTTCAAGAATTCGGCAACTGTCTCAATGGTCCTCGCGCTCTGTTCGTGGCAATTTTCTAGAAGCATCTTGACCTGCAGCCTGCTTAAAATGAGAAACAGAAGACCCCAACCCTAAAATGATCCGAAACCACTACGACCCTGCTGACAAGGATCGTCCATCTTTCGGTCGAAATACTCCAGCGTCGCCCCCGGCTTGATCTTCAGGCCTGTAGGAACCCAGTGAGCGCAAGAGCTCTTAACCAAGATGCGTTTAGCATGTAATATATGGATCTGAACAGCTAGTCGCGCTGTTCCCTTGTGGTCCCCATATAAGCGAAGTCTTACGCATGCCAACAGCCCATTCTACTCGTTGAGGCCTTTATGTTCGAGGTGTCTCTCATCTGATTTTGTGCATTCTGCTGAATTCAACATCTGGACAGGATGGCAGTTGTGTGCGGGGCTTGGGTTCAGGATGCAGGGTTTAGGGTCCCAGGGCTCAGGGTTTGGGATTTTTAGGGCTAAGGTTTGAGGATTAGGGCTTAAGCACTTCTGTTTCTTGGGTATAAGGCGTCTTTAGTTTGGGGTGTCTGTGGTCAAAGCGTGTTTTGGTTTAAGTGAGTTTCTGGCTTAGGGTTTAAGGTTCTCCCTTTGAGGAAGTCAGCCGGGGGAATACTGTGATCATTTTCATGAAAATCACGAGAGTTGGGGTGTACATTGTAAAGCAGTCCCTAGACGAAGGCCCATAATATAGGGGCCTTAAACAATCGAATAGGGCTTGGGGGTACTTTGGTTACAATAATGAACTCCCAGAGTAGTATTGGTCTACAGCCCCACAAGGCCCAATCCCTGTACTACATTCACTCAGGGGCATTTTCGCAATAGAAGCATCTGGCTTCTGGATCAGTTCGTAAACTGTAAACCCGATCCCCTCTCACCCTAAAATAAATCCAAACCCCCCACCCCAAAAACCCTTAAAACAAGATCTTGATCCTCTGACTCTGCATGATCGAGACCGCCCTCAAAGCCACGGGACGCTTCTGCGCTGCAGCTGCGATCCGCCGTTCCTTTGGAAACTTGTCCTGAGCACCGTAATATATAATAATATATAAATAAGAGTAATAACAATAATAATAATAATAAATAATAATAACAATATATATATATATAATAATAAAAATGTAAGATTAAATAAATGCGGTGTGGCGTTGGGCTTTAAGATCTTCGGGTGTGGGCATTGGAGAATGGCTTCCCAGACACCCGGGAGGATCCAACAAGTAGATCCCTTAATGCGGGGTTTTCTAGAAAGTACCCTAAGTAGTATAGGGCTCCAACTCAGGGGATCCTACCGGGGGTCTGGGTTCGAAGTTTCAGGCTGTTTTGGTTGCCAGCCCGAAGCCCTTCGGGCCAAACCCTCGAACCCTAGCGGGTGTTTTGTTTAGGATTTGGCCAGGGTGGGAGGTGGTAGGACGTCAGGGCTTCAGCACTCAACTTCCGCGCTCTTCACGGGCTCAGGGTCTGCTACCCTCACTGGGTTAGCCTTTAGAGCCCTTTGAAAAATATTAGTATATATATATATGTATATATATATAGGGTCATTATAAACCCAATCAGGAAAATATCTAAATAACCCAAAGGCCTATTCAGGACTGAGCGGCATTCTCGAAAAAATCTCTGTAGGAACTCATCCATTGCTCAGCCGTCGTCACCGGCAAAATGAACCTCAGCTTTTGTCTGGGTATAAATGTCCGGGTTTTACAGGTCAAAAAAGGGCTTTATGAGAGCTCCACGGGGGCTCTACTTGGAGGTTATGGGTAGTTGTAAATTGGGATCACAAGTCCCCTATTACGTGTATGGGTTATGACTATAGTTAACTTACTTACGAACTGACTTATAACTACCCATGAACCTCCAAGTTATTCATGAAGCTCCGAGTAGTCTAGAGGGCCTAGGCATACCTTCAAGCGCGATGTCATGGCATTTTCGTGTGGATCCTGGGCCCTGCATAACCTTAAACGTATTTATGAGCCCACACGCGCGACCTGAGAATAAGTCTGATTCACCGCCTTCACTGAATGAACCCACCCGTATTGGATGCGTGCTTAGATTTAGGGTCAAGAGGACCTTGATTAGGCTCACTACCAACTAGATCTGAATACTTGCAAGGTGACGCAAAAGTGTGTTGCCCTTTTCAGGACTGGCCCGGGAATGTGTAACCGGGGGCATTGCGGCATCAGTAGCCGGGGACTGTGTCACGAGAGGCCTGGATACGACCGTCGAGCATTACCGGCACGGGTGGGGCTTGATCTGGACACATGTCGGACTCACGGGGCAAACAGACTCGACTAAGATTCCTACCTGCAGCTGTCCATGACGAACCTTCAAGGAGAGCGGACATGGGCTTTCAGGTGTTGCTGAGGGAAATGCCTGCCACAGTGTGGGATTTCACCTGCTCACCACCTAGATTCCAGCCCGAAGCTGACACGCGAGTGGCCAGCCCGAGGAGGGACCCTGGGTTTGAGGCTGCATTTCCTGTCGTAACTTACTATGATTACTGTTATTACCATTAGTAGTACTATTATTGTTATGATTATTACTATTATCGCCTTGCAAGCTGAACTTACAGCTGCCTGCCCGAGTCTTCAACTCAACATCAACGGAGGGCAAGCAGCTTTGAATTGGGAAACTCTTCCATGACAGCGTCATACATCAGCTGGAATGGCTCATCCATGCCTGCATCGAATCCGCTGAGGACGTTCATAGCGACCTTCACATTCACAGGGCCACACCAAGCCCGGAGCAAGTTTTGTGGAGCTCTGCTGGCGTTCATTTCCTTCTCTCCAGCCGTTGTCAATCACAACTAAACCTAGCAACAACCGCAGGTACACTGGTACAGCCTTCCTGGTCCTACTTCTGACTTCCAAGCTAGGCCGGCTGGTTCACTGGTTCACTCTCGAACTCGCGCCTCCTTGGACCCATTGAAGTACAGGAAGTTGCACATGGGCTCCCGGACAGATCTGTTGTAGCCGCTGTGCAGTGGCCGTAGGCCTAGAATCTTCAAAGCCGTGAACATCGTCTGGGTCCCTGTCCGCGGAGGCCCAACGTAGAGAACTTGAAAAGATCTGGCAAGGACGGCAAAGTTAAGGAGAAGCGCCATGGGCAGCATGATCCTCCATGTGGCCGACATACTGCCAGTCTCACTGCACCGACGTTGTATGGAGGGTCGTTTGCAGTAGGCGTGTGGCTTTCCACGCCTGGTCTTGGGCCCGAACGCAAGGCAAGGACCTTTCCACAGGATCCTACTCCTTCAGGGTCTCTTTTTCAGGGTCCCCTGACCTAGATTCCTTTCTGAAACCTCGGAGCTTCTGGGGCCTGCGGTCGGAATATACAAGCCCAAGAAAGGCGAGAGGCTATGCAGCTCCTCTGCACCACAGTCTCACAGGTGATTCAGCAAGAAGGGGGCCGGAACGTCGGAGGATGCTCATGATAAGGACTCCCGAAGGTGCACTTCCCGAAGCTTTCTAAGAAGAAAAGCATCTCAGAACAGGGCCGAGCTTGCTTCGGCAGATCTCCCTAAAGGGTTTAGGGCTTTGGGCTTTAAGAGTTTAGGGAGCAATCCAGCTGGGGCCCCACGATCTCAATGCAGGGTTTAGTTTAGTTGTCAGTCGCTTGGTGCTTTCGCCTCCACGCGGGAAGTCAGACGCTATAGGGTGTGCTTGCATTGGAGTTTAAGAGGTTTCACTGGAATCAGGAAGCCGATAACCTTCTACCCAAAGAGCCTGCACATCCCGAAACCCAAAACCCAAAAATATTCCTTCAACCAGAGGCCCCTTGCCAGTCCGAATCGGCGTGCTCGTATCTGAGGTGCTGGAGGGCCACCTCCCGTTCTTTGAGCCTGGAGTTTCGGCTTGAGAGGTTCAGGCTTGGGGTTTGAGGGTTTAGAGTTTAGAGTTAAGGCTTTGGGTTTGAGGGTTTAGAGTTTTGAACTCAGAGATAAGGCTTTGGATTTCAGGGTGGGGTCCAACTCTGGACCCATTGTTTTGCCTCCTACCTCGCCAGGACGTGCCCAACTCTGGACGTGTTCAGGTTTACGGCTTTGACGATCGGAGATGAGAGCCCTTCGTTGGACTGCACAGGTAACAGGCAAGTCCTACACCTCCCCAGGCGTAAGCGCCTTTTCCTAGACCTAGCGTACAGCTGGTCTTGAGCAGTCAATGAAACAAAGCTGGCATGAATCCTAACAAGCACAGAAGTCGCACGTGTACTCAAGTCGGTGGCAAATCACACTATGGTTATGATAAGGAACCCCCAAAAGAAGTATAGGTAACTATTTAGACCCTATATTTAGACCCTATAGCAGGTCCAGGATCAGGAGCTTCCCATTCACAACCCCGATCCGACCACGGATCTTGTGCTCCGTCGCACGGCTCAGCTTCTGTCGTCGTCGGGGTTTCTTAACTTACGGGGGATCCCTTTTGGGGGTGCCTGTGTAGTGATCGAAAAGCCGACTGCATCTGAGCGTTTTTTGTGAACCCCTTGCTGGTTCCTGCTCCCGGAACATCCGTTGACCATGAGAGCTCGAAGGTCAAAGCACCTCAAGGCCTGATAAACAAACCCAAGCCCGAAATCAACTGGGAATATCGACATCGACGAGGTTCAAGAATCCAAAGGCCTCAAGCCCACATGGGAGTTTCCGAAAATTAGGGGACCTATATAAGGATCCGACTACTTAGGGTAATTACTATATTTGGGCCCCCTATTTTCGGAAACTCCCACATCCGAGAACAACACCAAACTGCGAAGGCCCAAACCCTGCCTCTCCACGAAGAGGTCCTCGATACTTCTGACCTCCCGGTCGCTTTCAGATAGCCTCGGCTTGTGCCGAGCGAGGGTTTTAATCGACCTCATGCTACTACTTCCTTTTGGAATGTAACACTAGTAATCATATTAAGAAGTGCTGTTAGTCTTATTCTTATTGTCACTACTACTTCTACGTCTACGTCCACTTCTACTTCTACTTCCACTTACTTCCACTTCTACTTCTACTTCTACTTCAGCTACTACTGCTACTACTGTACTACAGTACTACAACGACAGGGTTCCACTACTACGACGACCACCACGACCACCAGAACAACCACAACGATCACTCGAGTTCTCCTAGCATCAAGCCCTCTGATCCTTGAAGAGTCTTCTGACCGTGACAAGGCACCCAGCGCGGAGAGCAAGGTTTCCGAGCCTCAATTTAGGAGCTTTCTGTTTGTTTGCGCACTATGACTCCTAAATCTTCCGTCATGGACTTGCCTGTGCAGGATAGCGGAGCGTATGTCTTGCTGCTCTGTTGCTGCTGTTGTCGACACACGGTTTGTGACCATTACTAGCTATTTAGTTTATGACAGGAAATTTGGGCGCCTTCTGTTCTCCGTTGCTAGCAAAAAGTCGGAGCTGTCGGGCTTGGTCGTGTCTGGCTTCATGGGCTGTACGTCGTTCAGGGCTTCAGGCTTTCGGGGATTTGCATAAGGGTCTCGGCTTGTGGGTTTTGGGTTGGCTTTAAAGGCTGCAGGATTCAGCCACGCTGACTGAACACGAGGTGTAAGTCTTAGTGATGTTATCTTTATGCCTGTTTTGTCTTTTCGGGCTAATCTCCGCCTCGGTTTTTGGGCTTGGCCTTTGTTTGCAAAGGTCCTACTCGGAGGTTCATGGGTAGTTATAAGTGGGATTATAGGTAAGGAGACTATATTTATAACTACCCATGAACCTCCAAGTAGACCCTGCAGGACATGGGGCCCAGGAAGGATGATAGTGCTGGAGCCTCCTCTTCGTGCAAGAAGAAAGTTCTTAATCATAATCCAGGGCCTCCGCTGGCTGTCGTTAACCCTAATGCCCTGATTCAATGTACAAACTCCTGCACCGTAGCTCAAGATCCTAAACCCCAGGCTCAACACTAAATGCGCCCTTTCATCCGAACTCCTCAAAGGCAAAATTCACCCCGTTTCGCGCATGCCTTCCGCAGGAATTGCAAAGCTGACTTCACCTATGGAAACCTTGAACAAGTATGCTTCGGCTTTCGCAAGGTTTGGGATGTCGTTTGGCCTTTCCCGTCGACGCATTTCGGAGTTTCAGAGCATCGGGAACTGTGATAGAAAAACCCTCTACGGTAGGAGCCTCACCAGAAGGATACAAGACTCCCTAATTTCGAAATACCAAACCCGGCAAGCCCCGCACGAGTGTCTATGAGAAGCCCGCCCCTTCACGCAGGAGAGCAAGAACTCAGGCCCCTACCGCCTGCGCAGCTCCTTTCGCACAGGATGCGATGGGTCCTGGACTTGACGCTTGTGGTTCCTGTGTTTAGAAACTGAAGGCTTATGGTTTTAGGACCTAAGGTCTCGGCATGTTGATTGATCAGGAGACCAATCGAGCGCCTACCACTGCTAGCGATAGCGCCAAAAGTCTTGCAGCTGCTACCTGCTACCGCCACGACTCCTGCTGGTAATCGGGCTCTTGCGCTTCTTCCGTTCCTACGATTGCGACTGCAACTGCTACTGCTAGTACTGCTGCTGCTGTTGCTGCTTTTGCTCATGCTGCTACTCCCACTACTCCTACTGCTGCTGCTGCTACTACTACGACTGCTGCTACTACGACGACGAAAACTACTGCTACCACTGCTGCCAGTACTACTACCCCCACCACCACCACCACCACCGCCACCACAACCAAGACGACGACGAGTCCCACTCCTACTACTGCTGTTCTTGCTTTTGCTGCTACTCGTTCTAATTTTGCTACTTCTTCTGCTGCTGCTGCTGCTCCTGCGACCTCTGCGGAGGCTTTGTGTCGTACGAAACGGTGTTCCAGATAAGCGACTTTCTGTCAGATGAAAACTCGTTGTTGTTGGGTGGGATCTTAGTGTTGCAGAGGGTCTTACTGTTAGACGAGACTTTATGGCTAGGCAAAGTCTTCCTGCCAGGCAGGGTCGTTGATCAGATCAGGTTTGCTGTTAGACCGGGCTTCTGTTACATAGGGTTACATGAGCTTGACTTGCTTTTGCTTCGGTTTACATGTCAAGTCAAGATGCAAAATGGAATAGAGGACAATCAGATGACCGATGGGTCACGGGAGCAGACAAACGGCTGCTGCTGCTGCTTCTGCTGCTACTACGACTGTACTACGACTACGACTGTTTCAGCCATGACTACTACTACCACTACCACCACTACTGCTACTACTGCTGCTGCTACTACTACTACTACTGCTACTGCTACTGCTACTGCTCCTGCTCCTGCTCCTGCTCCTGCTCCTGCTCCTGCTACTGCTACTGCTACTGCTACTGCTACTGCTACTGCTACTGCTACTGCTACTGCTACTGCTACTGCTTACTGCTGCTGCTGCTACTGCTGCTACTGCTGCTACTGCTACTGTGCTGATGCTGATACTGCTGCTGCTGTGCTTGCTGCTGCTTCTACTGTACTGCTACTGCTACTGCTACTACTCTGCTACTGCTACTGCTACTGCTACCACACTGCACTGCTACTGCCACTGCCACTGCCACTGCCACTGCTACTGCTACTGCTACTGCTACTGCTACTGCGACTGCTACTGCTACTGCTACTGCTGCTGCGACTGCTACGACTGCTACTACTGCTGCGACTGCTACGGCTGCTACTACCACGACGACGACGACGACGGGCTCCTCGACATCGTCGGTTTCTTCGGAAATGAAATCACTTTTCCTCAGAATGGAGCGGTTCAGGGTTTGGGGGCTTAGGATTTCAGCGGTTTCGGGTTCAGGGATGCAAGGCTTTGGAGCCGAGGGCTTGAGATTGGGGCTTGAAATTCAAGTTTCAGGCGAAACCGTTCTTTGGATGAAAATGGAGCCTCAGGTTCCCGGGCGTCTGGCATGGGGACAAAGACAGTGCAAATTCACAAAGAATGGGTGAATATTGGGTTTTCAGAAGTTGAGGACCTGCAGGTCAACACGCTGCAGGCGAGGCTTTAACTAACAAAAAGTCTAAACAAAACCTAAGCTTTAAGCCCTTGTACCGTGAACCCTGGGACCGACACCCCTAGGCCTTAAGACCCTGAGACGCTATGCTCCAAGATCCTTAAGCGTGGCACTAGCCCTACCCTCAGACCCGTATGGCCATCCTTACAACAGGCCCTTGTAGAACCCGTTTCGGAACCCAGTAA